CTCTAATCTCGACTATCCACAATGTAGTTAAGTTCTGGCTTTGACATGTTTGTTTACAAACAAGGGTCCATGATATCCTCACAAGTGAAATATACCCTGCTCAACTTAAAGCCTTTGGACCTTTCCAACTCTGTTTAGAGTGACTCTTTGTTCTTCCAACAGCACCAGTATCTTTATTAGGTATACCTGTTCAATTGCTTGGTAACACAAATTGCTAATCAGCCAATCACATGGCAGCAACTCAATGCATTTAGGCATCTAGACTTAGTGAAGACTACTTGCTGAAGTTCACACCGAGCATCAGAATAGGAAAGAAAGGGAATTTAAATGAGTTTGAAGGTGGCATGGTTGTTGGTGCCAGACGGGCTGGTCTGAGTATTTTAAAAACTGCTGATCTACTGGGATGTTCACATACAACCATCTCTAGGGTTTACAGAGAATGGTCCGAAAAAAAGAAAATATCCACCAAGCAGCAGTTGTGTGGGCAAAATGCCTTGATGATATCAGAGGAGAATGGGCAGACTGGTTTAAGATGATAGAAAGGCAACAGTAACTCAAATAACCACTCGTTACAACCAAGGTATGCAGAATACCATCTCTTAAAGCACAACACATCAAAGCAGATGGGCTACAGCAGCAGAAGACCACACTAGGTGCCACTCCTGTCAGCTAAACACAGGAAACAGAGGCTACAATTCACAGAGGCTCACCTAAATTGGACAATAGAAGATTTGAAAAATGTTACCTGGTCTGATGAGTCTCAATTTCAGCTGTGACATTCAGATGTCATGGTCAGAATTTGGCATAAACAACATGATAGCAGGGATCCATCCTGCCCTGTATCAACGATTCAGGCTGGTGGTAGTGGTGTAAATGGTGTGGGGTATCATTTATTGGAACACTTTGGGCCCCTTAGTATCAATTGAACATTGTTTAAACGCCACGGCCTACCCGAGTATTGTTGCTGACCATGTCCATCCCTACAGTGTATCCATCTTCTGATGGCTACTTACAGCAGGATAATGCACCATATCACAAAGCTCCAATCATCTCAAACTGGTTTCTTGAGCATGACAATCAGTACACTGTACTCCATTGGTTTCCACAGTCACCAGATCTCAATCCAATAGAACATCTTTGGAATGTGGTGGAATGGGAGATTCGCATCATGGATGTGCAGCTGACAAATCTACAGCAAGATACTGCATGATGCCATCATGTCAAAATGGACCAAATCTCTGAGGATTGTTTCCAACACCTTGTTGAATTGCCTTGAAGAATTAAGACAGTTATGAAGGCAAAAGGGGGTCCAACCTGGTACTAGCAAAATGTATCGATGAGTGTGTGTGTATATATCAAAGCCAAGATGTCCAAATACATGCATAAAATCTCTTTTCGCCATGATTCCCTCCTATCTTCCACTCAACCTTTAAAAAGTGCTTTTTTATGTTGACAGTATATGCCAATTATAACCTGTGTGTCATTTTCTATAATTATACGTAGACTATATTGTATTGCAGGATTGAATTAGACAATATAAAATGTTTCATGCTACAATGATAACCAGGAAAATAATAAGGACAGGGACATGCTATAGAATCACAGTTTGAGCAGAATACATTTGATAAATGTTAAATGAAGAATGTTGGGAACTCATTACTCTATACATGCTGTACATTGTATGTTTATCCAACCTAAGAAACATAATGAACGAGAGAAAAGACTGTATATTCCCTTTTGCTTTACTTAAATGAATTTGCCAAACACACTGCTGATTGGATAAATCATATGCAAGGAGATATGTGGACCCTATGCTATGAGCCCGATTGCAGTCACATGGTCTGGCTTTAATTATAATGTTGCATGGGTGGGAGAAAAAATCCATAACACGCGACAGTTCTCAAAAAACATATGAAGACTGTAGTCACAGATTAATCCTGGTGCGGAAAACATCCATACAGCAGAGAGCACACATAGAAGAATAAAAGTTTGCACTAGGCTGTAATCTAGACTTCCAATCCATGTCAGACAAATGTCTAAATGAATTATTAGCCCATCTGGTGCACCAAAATCTATTTTAACAAATGCACGACCCAGATAGAAAAAGAAAACTTTTTATAGTGACCGCATAACATATTTTAAAATAATTCAAAATGAAAAATAAAACAATAGATAGGACCCCTGCTGTCCACACCCTATGAGCCCAGCTGTTTTCACAAACACAGACATGATTAAATAAAATAAATAGACCACCAGAGCGCATAATATGTAGCTGGCTCCAAATCTTTGCCAAAGACGGGAAGAAGAAAGACAGGAGTTATAGCAGCTCCTGCTTGTCTTACATTCACCTAACTAGCAGGGATATGATGGTATCAGCACTTAAAACGCTGTAGCAGAGAAGAGCTCTTCGAAAATTGATAACACATCAAAAAATGTATCTTAGATGAATATTTTTCTGAGACCAGAAATTAGATTTGTAAGAGAAAGAACTGGCAAAGCAACAAGAGCTAAAATCTGCTCGCCCACCCAATTTCGCATATTAGCGTACAGGGATTTGGACCAGACTGCCATTAGAAAAACACAGAAAATGGTTTCACAGAATTAAATCCTTCCCAAGACAAGTGTCAGAACCTCTAAATGGAATGACTGCAGGCTCTGAGGAAGGGTGAAGCAAGTAAATAAATTAGGTGATTAAAAAACACACATTCTGCCCTCTGATTAGCTGTATGCTTGACCTGGATTTAACTGCCATTTCTATGAAAATTTTAAGACGCAAAAATAAGCAATTTACTGCAGCGGGGCCAGCTAAAGTCAAGAGATGTTAAGAAGATAATAAGGATGGAGACACACTATAGTTTCACAGTTTGACAAGAATACATTTTATCACCATTAAATGAAAGGAACGTTGGGCTGAGGTAGAGCAGTAAGAGATATACAGGATTACAAAATGACATTTCTTATACTGGTATGAGTACATTCTTGTTCACTGTAAAGAAAAGCAGATAATAGCATTTTCCTGTTATTTCTAGTTTAACTCCTGAGTGAAGAGGAGGCTGAGATTGAATATGATCACCACAACTGTTCTCTTTAGAGACTGAACAACCTGCAGTACTAAAAGTCACTATTGTCTGTGTGTCCTGAATTCTGGGCCACAAAACCATTTCTTAACTAAAAACAGGCAGCCTGTAATCATCCCAAATTAAATGTACAATGCAAACTTTTTGATATGGGCATATCTAAAAAAAAAAAAAAAAAAGAAAAAACATAGCGAAAAGAACAATATAGTATAGTGTGCAGTAAACAAGTGTATGGACAGAAAGAGAGAGATAAGATGTGAACGTGCTATCATGATAAATCAGTTTCCTTCCTATATTTTCATATATATGTATCAATAAATATGAATCATGATTGATCACTACAGACAAGTTCTACTTTTTATAGAGAACATTCTTTTCTGTAATTTTGGGGCCCATTCCCACCAAAATGCATTACGCTGGGCAGCCTTGACCAATGCAGCGTAATGCATAGACAAGGCAATTTGCCTTGTGTCCTATGTGTTCAGTCCACTCTACTGCATCACAGTTGTGTGCACTGGAAAGAGTAGGGCATTTCAAAAAAGTTATACAAAAAGAAAGGCAAAAATGCCTTGTAGTCAGTGTATCAGCCCTGTCTACATCACAGTGCACACCAGAAGCTATGTTATGTGTCTGCTCAATGCAAAGAAATGTCACCAGCACACCAAGGATTCCTCATATGGGTTTAAAGCTTTATTTAGTGGTCACATGGTACACACAAAAGGTAACGTTTCGGAACCACGCAGGGCCCCTTCATCACTTGCCTGACAAAGGGGACTTGTGTGACTCCGAAACATTGCTTCGTATGTATCATTTGACCACGAAAAAAAAGCTTTGGGCCAGTTTGAGGAATCCTTGGTGTGTTGTTGATGTTTATTCGCATTGACTGTCTACGGTTCCCAGTCTGTGGTCACTGCAGCACTGACCAACACTGAACAGCCTGCACTGGGAATATCAAGACTGATAATGTGTCTGCTGGTGTGAACAAGCCCTTAAAGTGGTTGTAAAAGTTAAATTATTTTTACCGTAATGCATTCCTAGCATTAAAAACCTTTGTGTACAGCATCCAGCTCCTCCTATCTCTCTCCTCACTGGCTCAATAACAGCAGCAGGAGCCATTGGCTTCTGCTGCTGTCAGTCTCAGCCTGTGTGTTAATGGACACTCAACCACTTAAAGGGCTTTGGAGCAAGCCTGCATGAAGGGCACTCGGGATGTGGGGGGAGTCAGGACTGCCAGTGGGGGAGGAGAAGAAGTGGAGGATGGGGACTGCTCTGTGCAAAACCATTGCACAGAGCAGGCAAGTATAACATGTTTGTTATTTTAAAAGGTAAATAACTGAACCTTTACAATCACTAAGTACCTTGTATTGGACAGGATAAATAAATCACTCTTCTGACAGGTTGCTAATGATCACAACATACAATTGTTCTTTGTTACTAAATAACACCATACAGTGTACTACTGCTAAATAAAATTAAAGCAAATAAGGGCTGGGGTAGCAGCAGGTGATGTTAAAAGGTGTGAAGTATGCGTAAATAAGGACAGAAATCAGGATCTGTGGTATTATTAGGAACTGGAAAACAATCATTGGGGAAAGAGCTGTTAAAGTTTTCAATATTGCCAATTTAAAATTGTTACAGCAAATAAGTAACTGGATAATGTTACATTGACTGCAGACAGTACCCACAATTCTCGGATTTTCTCACCCATGTTACTAAACATAACTTTTTTCTCCTAATCAATAAAGTTCTGAAGTAATTGAAGCAATAAAGACTTTCTTTTCTTCTCTACAGAAAACTGACTTTATAGGATATACCTATGTTTGTCAGTAAGAATGAGAAAAAACTTACATCACCAGAAATATCAGTCTGTGAACCAGCATCCAGTGTCTGTCTGGACAGAGACAAATGAGAGTTTGTGAGGCTGGACGTCAAGTCTGGCTCTGATCTTCCTCTGCCTTGCTCTAGATGAAACCTTTCCTTGAGCTTCGCAAGACTCTAAGAAAACAAAGCAGAGCAATTGTAAACTAAAACTCCCCCAAACAAACAGAAACAAGCAATGCATTTCATGAGAAAATGCTTCCTGTCAAAACCCCTACGTATATTCTTCCCACATGAAGATTTCCTTAAAAAGCTTCAATGGAGAGAAGAGCATGCTTGGATACCATGAAAACAGGAAGGAAACCTGACACTGTGAAGAAAGAACTTTCCTTGGTTCTAGCTTTATGAAGGCTCATCAAATCCTGGTCACAAAAGAATTGTGCAGCACCTGCTTCGTAAATACAGGTACAATCAACTTGTCAAGAAAAATCACACCCTTTATATTGCGGCTCAGGTGTTTAATGCAGTAACAATATGTAACTGTGATCTGATGAGGGTTATAGTGACCGTGTTGTTCTAAGCAAAAAGTAAATCAGACTTGGCATTTGTAACATGGATAAATGCATTTATAATGGAGAGAAGAAAGTACCATATGTTGCTTGGGAAAATCAAGATCTGCTTAAGAGTGGAGTTCACTGCAGAATTAAACACAGTCGGTTTTATTTCACAGGTTAAATTAAATTCTATAACTAGTAATGACACATGATAATACATTTTGAAATTCTGAAACGCAAGAACTGCCAAAGACTGATACATTCCATGGCTATTGTGAACAGTGCATGCAGTAGGGGTTGCATCTGCTTCAAACCATTTTCTAGCGATTCTGAAATATTTGTGCATTCCTAACTGAACAACATTAAGGCTGCATTCACACTTCCACGTAGAAAGAACAAGCATTTCCGCTCACAATTTGGTTTGAACGATTTGCTTCAAGATTTTGCGTGTTGCATAGGGCCAGCCTATTCACTTGAAAAAGTAGGGCAATTCAAAAAAGTTATACAAAAAGAAAGCCAAATGTGCCTTCTAATCGGTGCATCAGAGAATCTATTTTTTTTTTTTCTTTTTGCATGAACATTTGGAGTTTCAGTTTAAAACCAAAAGATGTTAGAACTAAAGAAAACTAACAAAAGATGAACGAAGACAGGTAGATGGATTCAGGCCCTTCCTGTAATAGAGATTGTTGATCTATGGAACAAACCTGCATCAGGTCCTGCTTCTCCTTCTCTCCAGTGCTAATGGCCTTCCTTATGCTCTTCAGCTCAGAGAGGATATCCTTGGCTTCCCTCAGCTCATAGCCGCTCTGGCCTCCGGACATTTTTTGGTCAATGCTAGGAGAAAGTAAAAAAGTAGCAAATACTTATACAGAATGCATAGGACATTAGAAAACTTTACATTAAACAAACACATACATATTGTATATGTATATAAGTAATACAGAGTGGATGTGTGAGTTCATAATTTAAAAGTACATTACAGGATCAATAAATATAATCTTGAGCTAGCATTTTTATTAAATCAATCAATCTTCCCAATTTCGAACACTGCCAGAAACTGACAGGCTGGATTTACCACCCATGCAGTGCAGCCCGCCTAGTCTAAGAGCCAGGAAATAAGGAGTAAATTAATACTTACCTTACTTCCCCCTCCCAGTGCTGCAGCCAGTCCACCGCAGCTGATCTCTAGGTTGCAACTGGTTCTGCTCACACTCCAGCCTCCTTAGCATATCATAAAGGGTTGTTGTCATTGTATGCTATGTGATAATGCTGAAGTTCTGCCCACAGATCACAGGTTCAGTGTGCCGGAGCAAGGATTCAAGTAGGTGTAATAGCCTCAATCCTTCCCTAGACATAACGAGCGATTAATCATAGCAGCGTGGGTAGCATCACCGCAAAGATGTTTTTTTTTTTTTTTTTCATTTTCCTAGAGTTGGGCCTCAAGTCTCAAGAGCTAATCCACAGTCCGTAAAGGCACATATGGACCTGAGATGCTCAATGACCAATGTTAGTTGGATAAGCTAGTCATTGCTATGCCTGTAAATAGCTTCCCATGATAGTGAAAAGAGCTTCGTGTTCAAAAGACTTTCATTGAAACTGCATTGCTATTATAGATATGTAGCAATAACTACCATTTCTCTGGAGTATTATTATGCAAAAAGAAAATACACTAAGGCTACATGCACACTAGTGTTTTTTTTTAAGCTCAAATAACACTGATAATAGCGTTTCTTAGTAGCGTTTTAAGTGCGTTTAGTGTTTTCTGGCAAATCACTCCCAATAGTGTTCATTGACACATAGTATTTGCTTCTAAGGGCAGAAAAAAAAATGTGCATAACTAGCTGCTAGGAGCTTAAAAATAAGCTAGTGTGCATGGATCCTAAACATGTTTTGTTTTTCTGCAAATAACAAAATATCTGGCTTATACAATTATTAAACAGCAATGTGCGAAGCTCATTAAAAAAAAAAAATAAATATCAACCAATTAGAATTCATCTTTCATTGATCTCACTGCTCTAAGCTGATGAAAGGTTAAATTGGAGAAGTTGTTGTTTTGGTCACTGCGATTTGACCATAACCACTGTTGAGGCTGCACTGCCAACTTGGCAAGTCTGAACATAGTCCATTAGCAGGGCACAAGCTGGCAAAAGAGGCATTACCCTACACTTCCCCACCTTGACACTAAAGTTTAGAATGAGTTCAGTTTATCTGTTGACAGTCCAAATATCCTGCCATATTTATAAACAGAAGCAACAAAAAAACCCTCTGTTTGTAACCCAACATGCTGAAGGGGGCTAATAGGCTTTTTGTGGCGACCAGCTGGACAGTGTACTTTTGTATTGTTCTGTGGACTGGCCTGTCCATGCACACCTGTCCATTTGCCAGATTATTCATTGATCTGATCAGTGTCTGTCATTGCTAGATTTATAAACAATAGCATCCCTTTAAGGCTGCCTCACACGGCCTGCTTGATGCAACCGCCAGATTCCTGCAGCAAGAATCTGTGGATTATTGCTGTTGGAATGACCAGGTTATGCAATCAGCAGCTGCTACTCAGACCATTTAAAAGGATAAGTTCACCTTTTAAGAAAAAATAATAAATTCACATTTATTTGCAGGTTAAAAAATGTACATTAACTATTTATTGTTCTGGAAGCCTGGAAAGCATTACACCAGTGATCGCTGGTACCATGCAGGACTCCTGAAGACCTGTCAATATATCTGTGTGCTCATACCCGCATACAGGCAAGCAAGACACACACTAACAGGAAGAATCAATGAACTACCACAGCATCCACAGCATTCAACAGTGCCGTGGTAGTTCAGTGGTAACTACAAGCTGACAGCCGCAAAGGCTGTCAGAACTTGTAGCTTTCCCCCACAGCTACCAGAGAGAGAAGATCCCCCACTAGCTTTCAACTAGGGAAATCAGGGGCCAGTCCTTTCGTAACATGTTACACCGTAAATATGGGTGTGACGTGTGACATGTTAGGCATGATGAACTTATCCTTTAAACTAATGGTTGGCTGACAGCAGCAGCTGAATCCAGGCTCAGACATCTGTCCCCAACCACATGTAATAGCTCTGTCAGCCCTCCATTAGTTTAAATGGGCCGAGTGGCTGCTGGCGGTCACATAATGCAGTCATTCCAGTAGCAAGGATCCGCAGATTCTTGACACAAGAATCTGGCAGTTGCAACAAACTGGTCGTGTGAAGGAGGCCTAATATTTCTGTTTTTTAATTTGGTGTAAAAAAAAACAACAAAAAAAAACTGTATATTGGTACTGAGCACAGATCTGAGTTATTTCAATAATTACCATATTTTTGCATTCTTGCAGTTCATATTTTTTGGCTCACATACAGAGAGATTTGTAGGCTAATCACTAGAGAGGACTTTGTATTTGACTAAGTCCCTGTTCACACTGTTTCTGTCATGAAAGCACACTTTCCCAACATGGCAGAAGAGCATGAAAAATAGTCCCCTTTAAATACAATGTAACTGTTCACATCTGTGTGCTGCGTTTTTATACAGTACACTGTGTTTTTGAAAAGTCCTGCTTGCTGCATCTTTTGTACCCTTAAAGTTTAAACACAATGCATTAGGTTAGGGACTAGGGATGCACCAAAATTTTGGCGGCCAAAACATATCGTCCAAAAATTGCCCTATCGGCATTTTGCAGATAGGAAAAAGTGAGCAGATACAGGTGCCGAAAATAAGAGACACGGCCCCAATGAGGGGCGGAGTGACTTTTTGGCTGGGGGGGTTTGGGGGGCTGTGGGTACTGCAGATGGAGGGGGGATGGGAACGGAGAAAGGCAGGAGAGGAGGTAAGCAGTGTATACAGTGAGGGAGCAGTGTATACAGACAGGCTCCCTCACTTGCCACTGCTAAATGTCATTGCCGGTATTTAAATGCAATTGCTGGCTTTATTTTTCTTCACTTAATAACTCCGAGAAGGAGCGGTCATTCGCCCCGCTGCTAAATGACAGCTCCTAATCAGAGCTATAGAGTGAAGAAAAAAAAATAAAAAAAGAAGACTCTATGGACAATATTCTGTATCTATGTTCTCCCTATGCTTGTGTGGGTTTCCTCCGGGTTTGCTCCTACATCAGTAAATGCATGGAAAGTGCTGCAGAAATTGTCAGCACTATATAAATGCCTGTAAATACCTGTAATAAACATACACAGTGTGTGCAGCCATTCTTTCCACTAATCTGATATGCAGCTGATCAAATTTAAAGGGCCAGAAACAGTGTAGACTGAGACATTTTTCCGCTTACATCATACAGTATTGGCTAGTTGATACTTAAAGCTACCATGTTTGCAGTCTTACTCCCTCATGTAAGACTAATACGCTTGTAACATTGAACTTTAAAAACCTTAACTGCAGAATAAAATAAGCATTATTTCAAAGTAATAAGATCTGACAAGTCTGTGGCTATTGCTTTTTACATGCGCTCCTGCATTATGTTTCTCTCTGTGTACAGGCATATCTCTGGGTGTCTGCTTGAGTTTCTTCAACAACTGCCCATTGTTTCCCTGTGGTATGTTGTTGACCGTTTCTCAAACATGCTTTGGATTCCTATCAAAATTGCTTGCAAGCAAGCTGATTTAAAACAATACTGTGTTGTTGTATTAATATAATAACAGAGTACTTGTCTAACTTTTAATCTAGCATTGTGCTATAAAGGTGTGATTAGGTACAGACTGAAGAAAAAAAAAATTGTATAAAAATTAATGATAGAGAGTGAGAGAATACACACACACACACACACACACACTCACACTCTCACAGTGGGCATAGAAAGAATCACCCCCCCCCCCTAAAATAATCAAATTGTGTTGCTTTGCAGCCTAAAATGATCACACCCCCATCCTAAAAATGACTTGTAAACTCAATCAGGTGTAGCTAATCACCTTCTCTATGGCACACAAAGCCATTTGAATTTTAACTGTGATCAGCTGTGGTCATTTTGATTAGCTCAGCATGAATAGAGCTTTCCCAGAGCATTTCAGTCCCAGTAGTGTAACTGAAGCAAACAATCAGATACAAAGCACTATCAAAAGATCTCCAGGTTAAAGTTGTGGGCAGGCACAAGTCAGGAGATGGATAAAAAAAAAAATTTCAAAGGCTTTATCAATGCATAAAAGCACAGTGAAGTCTTTTATTAAGAAGTGGAAGATATTTGGTACTACACAGACCCTCCCTGGATCAGGACATCGCTCCAAACTGGATGCAAGAGCCAGAAGGAAACTGGTCAGAGAGACTACCAAGAGGCCTACAGTAACTCTGAAACAGTTTCAGGAATTTATGACAAAGAGTAGTCATTGTGTGCATGTGACAATATCAGAAATTCTCCAAGAATGTGGCTTGTATGGGAGGGTTGCAAGAGAAAAGCCACTCCTCAAGAAAGGCTACATGCAGTCATGACTAAGTTTTGACACAACACACCTTGAAGATTCTGAGGCCACATGGAAAAAGGTGTTATGGTCAGATGAGACTAAAATTGAATTATTTGGCCTCAGCATTAAACGAGAGGACTGGCAGAAATCCAATACAGCTCACCATTCAAATAAAACTATTCCTACAGTAAAGCATGGAGGTGGTATTATCCTGTTATGGGGGTGTTTCTCTGCAGCAGGGACTAGAACACTTGTTAGGCTAGAAGAAAAAATGGATGGGGAAAAATACCATCAAATTCTTGAGAAAAATCTGCTGCCCTCTACGAGAAAGTTGTCAATGGGAAGAAGGTTTACCTTCCAACAGGACAATGACCCAGAGCACACAGTAAAAATTACCACACTTAGCTGAACTTGATCAGTTATGCAAAAAAAGGTAGGCAAATACTGCAAAGTCTAGGTGTGCAAAGTAAGTAGAGACATATCCCAACAGACTAAAGGCTGTAATTAAAGCAAAATGTGGTTCAACAAAATACTGTGGTGATCCTTTTTCCAACTTAATGATTCTATTTTTGAACTTTTTTCTATATTTTTCTGACATGCCAATGGCATAACTTTTACTTGATGTGATAAGTTGCACTGAGTAAATACAGCTGGATAAAACAAAAACGGTGTGTCTTCATTTCACGCTGCAAAGCAACAAAATGTGATTATTTTAAAAGCAGGTGATTCTTTTCTATACCCAATGTATTTATTAACAAATTGCACAGCAATATCGTCAAGTGAAAATGCACGTACATTTGTTCGCCAAGTATCAAGGAAATTTTCTATACTTCATCTAGTGGTCAAATGCAGTATTTCCCATTTTAAAATTGATGAGAAACATTCCACCAACACAGGAAATAGCCTAATAACATAAATGTTGCCCCATTCACACAGAATTAATGTACAGGCACTTTCAATTAGTAAATTGCTATGCAATTTTTTTTTTTCATTTTAAATACACCCTCAAAGTCCCTAGTTTTTCTCCTTTATATTCATATACACCAGGGGTGCTCAACCTTTTGAAGAGTGAGGGCCACTTAAGTGATGTGGTAACCAGCCGTGGGCCACAATGAAAAGAAATGGTTCAGAATTTTGCTTTTTTATTTTGAATAGCATAATGGATACTTTCCTCCTGCAGCTGCTGAATTCTGGAGGAAAGGAAAGGAGGTGAAGCCAGCTTTCAATGGTATCAAGAGGAAAATGGAGAGGATCGATTCCTGTATATCACCCCTCCTTCTCCAACTGTAAAACAGAATGCGACAGGAAGGCCGAATGGGCCCCCTAGAGCATTGTGACCCCTGTAGCTATACCAGTGGTTGGGGGTGTATGGTAAAAATACATCTTAACTATGGGGTTTTACTGTCCCCCCAGACTGCAAATGTAAATGAGCTCTTACTGTCCTGAGCCCCCTTATAAGGCTGCTTTCACATGAATGCACTGCAGTTTACCTGTGGCTTTCCTACAGGTTAGTCATGCTTTGCATTAGACCTCTATTATATCTCGTTGGTGTGGTACACTTTCTGAAAGAGCATCAAAATGCCTGCATTCAGTTTGAGGTGGAGGGCCACATCAGAGGGCTCCAAGGGCCACATCAGAGGGCTCCAAGGGCTACATGTGGCCCGCATGCCACTGGTTGCGCACCCAATATATACACTCATGTATTTAAAATTTTGCGTTAAAAACAAATCACAAAATTCTTCTGTCATTTGGCATGGAATATTTTCTACATAGGTTCATCGACAGTTGGACAGACATACAGGTCTTTAAATTAAGCTATGTTTGCGATTTTTAAGTGCTGTTTAATCAGTGCATCCCCCAGTCTGTCACTCTATCTTGAGTGAAGCTACTTTTATCATGTATATATACATATATATATATATATATATATATATATATATATATATATATATATATATATACTCTCATGATGCTCCACAACCTGTCTCAAAGCAGTCATCTCTTTGGGCTTTCAGTAAAAGCAGGACACAGAGAATACAGACACGAATGATGATAAATTTAGCTTGTTTCAAAATGTACAGTTATAATGAGCATAAATCAAATACTTTAAATCTAGGCCATAGAAAAAGTCCTGCTGGCATTTGTGACCTCTTTACTGCAAACATAGCCTTACAACTCCAAACAGCAGACTTTCATAAGCATGTCTACTACGAAATTGTACGAGTAATGGTATTTTGGTAAGATTAAAACACAAGAGAAGCAGAACAGCAATAAAAATGACCGAAGAGGGCTGATGTACATTACTGAATTGCAAAAGTATGCACCGCAGCAAAAGACATAACAAGCAATCAATTTAGAGCCAAATGCCAGTTCCAGGGCAGGCAACATACAGTGTATGATTCTGCACAGTCCCGAAAATGGAACGGACACCCTACAACTAGATGGGAGTCTCAGTCACAACATGTAATAGCTGTCAAAAGGTTTCCCTTTAAAGAGTATGTTAAGGCAAAATAAAAACAAAACAAAAAAAAACACACATATACAGTACATCTATGCAATACATTTATATTTTGCCATACTTTAACCCCTTAAAACCTTTGCAAATACAGAAAAACACTTGTTGATCCACCATAACTGCACTTGGCTTCTATGTGCTAATAACCTAATAATTCCGGATTATCATTATTATGTGTTTATGCCCTTTCTTTATTTGTAGAAGCATTCCTTATTAAAACGTTACCCGTTGATCCTGCCAGTTGTTCATAGTTACTTGTTCTTCATTGCAACAATCACAGAGCCTTTGACACTACAGAGCCTTTGACTCTACATGCTCCCCTTCTTGTGTTAATTAGGCAATGTCCACACACAGCTTACTGCATAGGTAATCCTATTTGGCTACATTAGCACAGCCCAGGTTGGGGCGGGGCTAAGCTGCAGGAGGCCACATGTCCTGGTGACATCACTTCAGATCTTTCAGGTCGCCTCCACCCCGCCCCCCTCCATCCAGACCATGCAGAGCAGTGTGGAGTTATCATTAAAACATCTGATCTTCCCCATTGGCGTCAACACCTACAGGGAAGGGTCAGATGCTTGAGGTGACAACTCCAATTGGCTCTGCATGGCTGGGGGGCCTGAAAAGAGCTGAAATATCAGGACATGTAACCTACTCTGACTTAGCCCGACCTCGGCCATGCTGAGAAGGGGAAAAGAAAAAAAAAGTCATGTGACCCAAATATTAAACCACTGATTGGATGCAGTCACTATTCTGCTGAAAATTTTCAACCCGGCTCCTTTGAATTTTCAATTAAAACTTAATATTTTAAAAAACTGTGTTCAAGGAAATACTAAAAACAGCTTCTCAATATGTTTGTTTATGCCTTCAATATACAGCTAATAGGAAGATACTTTCCCCATGACATTTCAAAGGGTCTATCTCAAACTAAATGAAAGAAACAAATCAGAGCCAAAAAAAAAAAAAATCATCATCTTCCTCGGTTGTACAAATGGCTGTAAATGTCATAATGTCAAGAGATATGTGAAAGATTACAGTTCAGCGCTACAATTAATCTCTGCTTTATTATCAGCACATATCGTATTCTAGCCCCTTCTCAGCCCCAATGCCACAGTTTGTTACAGCAGAAAAAGTGTCATGTCACAAGCAGAGGATTATCATTTCAAGGCAAGAAAAGTGCCGGAACCTCATGACTTGTGATGTAAAACATTCTTGTTTTTCTACGTGTCCTTAAACACAAAGGTTATGCTGATTGAAAGAGATGTGGAGCACTGACTTTACCATGCCAAGACACCAACTAAAGTGTTGACAGTAGAAAGATTTGTCATTAAAAACTCACCGCTGCAATGTCTGGAACCCCTGCTCTTTGTACAGTAGTTCCTGTTTCATTTGTGATAGCTCCCTCTTCAACTTTTTAACCTGGTGGAAAAACAAAGTGTCAATCTTGATCATACATTAAGTTGGCAAGATACAATGAAGTTAAATTAGAATGCAAGCAAAAACATTTTTCCTACTTTTAGATATAGTGGTTAGAAAGCAAAATCCAAGATGCCAGATCGGTTTGATCAGATGCTGGTAAGGCTTGTTTACATGCGACAAAAACCAGAAGGTACGCATCGGAGGGGTGGGGGGGTCAACCTCTTTCCACTGCCTGTAAAAGTGATTTAGTGGCTGTATAGCCACTCTAATCACTTTCACCTGTTAGGGAATTGCCTGCTCTAAAAAAAAAAAACAAAAAAAAAACTAAAAAAAAAACTATACCAGGATCATGATTGTAGCCTCAACCATGATCCTGGTATAACCGCTTTAACCTTAGGCTGTTTATAAGCTACCTAAGGACAAGAAGTGGGTAAAAAAACTAGTGTTTTTCTGCACCTTTGAAACATGTAACATTTTTAGTCTGTACATGTAACATGTTCCCATAGCTGCCAGCCGCCCCCCCCCCCAACAGATAGTATGGGGGGGTGTACTATCTGTCAGATTTAAAAACAGCGTGGCCATGCGGGGCTCTGCCAGCACGGCAGCGTCATTCATTCACGGACAGCCTTAGCGGCTGCGGGTTTGTAGTTTTCAGTGCACTATGGACTGGATGCACTGTGGAGCGCTGTGGTAGTTCATTGAAGATTCCTGTCAAATATCTCTTTGCTCGTACATCCATATGGCAAGCAGATATTCTGATAGGTCTGCAGGAGACCTGCATGGCATCAGCGATCTACTGATCACTGGTGCAATGCTTTACATGCTCCTTTGGACAAAAATAATAAATGCACATTTTTTTACCTGCAAAAAAAATGTGCATTTATTATTTTTGTCCAAAAAGTGAACTTATCCTTTAAAGCTGAAATTTAGCTAAAATTCTTTTTCCTCTACAACTTTAATTACATTACTTGCCTGTAACAAAGTATGATGTGCAAGTTGCTGGAGTCTGCAGAAATCTTACTCCTGCTGCTGAACTTCTGTTGCTGCGGGTTTAATGACTTTAGGTCCTTGGGTTCAGTTACATTAAAGTGGTTCTGAAGGCTAGACATGTTTTACCTTTAGTCCTCATGCACACTGGATGCTTTTACAGTGGCTGTTTTTGGCTTTTTGTGGTTTTTTTTCTACAGCCAGTAAACTCCCCAGCATGTTATCCTATGTGTCCATGCTCACAGACTGTAATCAGCGTTTTTTGACAGGGGTGGTTTTTTGGCTGGAAAAAAATCCCCCAGAACTAGTGGATTTCTAGAGGAGTTTTTTAGCTGTAAAAACGCTCTAAATGCTGAAAAACGCTGAAAAACGCAGAAAACTGGTGTTTCTGGATGTTTTTGTTAGCAAAAAAAAAAAAACGCGAAAAGCGCAAACGCAAAAAAAGCGGCAAAACCCTAATGCAAAAAAGCTGAAAAGCTCGCATTTTTAATGTGACTTTACACAGCTAAAATTACCAGCGTTATTAAAACACCAAACTTGGGATACATGCTGTTTTGTATCTCTCCGGGAGATAAAAAGCAGCATGTCCATGCTGACAGGAAAGAGACCTGTGTTATTTACCTACCTACCCCGTCAATTTTGCCGACAACCACCGAGTCCCAGCAGGGAATCACCAGCCAGGACCTGATGATTGACATCCCCAGCAGCCAATAGAGGCACAGGTAGGGTGGTGAACATGCCCCCTACCCGGAAGTGCAAATCACGTGTATACACAGTATACCTGCTATAGAGTGGTGGGCAAACGGTTAATACAGCTGAGCCTGAAGCTATTAACCCCAACAGTGCTGAAAGCTCAGCAGCAAGGACAGGATAGCCCTGTAGAATTCAGCAGTCTACACATCTCAGGGCATACTTCATTACAGGTAAGTAATGTAACTAAAGTTGTAGATAATTTTTTTTTTTTAAACTAAGCTTTAGCTTTAAAGAGCAATTCATTACCTCCAGTTATGTCTGCCTTTATAGTATTTATTGCTCTGTATCTCAATTTTAGTTTATTTAAAGTCAGGAAGCACGCTGTATGGAGGGGACCTGATGAAGAAGTGTGGCTTCCACCTAGATTTGCAAATATATGCTGCAAACACCTCTGTTTTTAATACATATGGGGAATTAATAAAGTGCCTAAAGCAACCTTTGTCTCAACTAACGCACACCCATCACCTTTTGCATTTTCTTATTCTAAGCTGCGTGGGAAAAATGAGAGATAGAAGCTGATTAGTTGCTCTGGCCAATGGCACCAGTTGAGACAGAACTTGCCTCAGACACTTTTAGTTAATTCCTTTACAGTGTTTAAAGAATGATGGCTTTTTCTTTCATTTGGATTTATACAGTGCCACCATTGGCTGTGCACACTTGAATTCTGACAGTGCAGGACAGGATGTTGAATGTTAGCAATAAAAATCTGGCCATGGTTCTCTTTTTTTTTTTTTTTTTTTCAGAAGTGGTAGTAAAGTCTCAATAAGAAACGAAAAAAATGTTCCCCCTGCAGGTTTAAGCCATCTAGGTTCTCTTCTGTTATAAAAACTCTGTCAGTGGGTTTTTACAGAGTTTATTTCCACTTTAACTGTTGTACAGACTAACACAGTGCTATGAGCAACACATAAAAACATTCATATTAACATTTACATATACACACATACTCACACACACACGCACAAATAAAATGTATTCATTTTTTGCCAGCATTGTCCATTGACAGAGGTCCTTCTGCACAAATAGAAGAAGCTTACCCTGACTTTTGTTGTGGAAATCTCTGCCTTAAGGATATCAGGGTCATACTTGGTACTTGAAGACGAACCTGAAAATACTGATGAAGACAAAGTAATCCAGATTAAAGTTGAACTTCAAGCACAAAAATGTTCATTGAAACATATTCCCTAATAACCAAAAAAGATATAAATCCACCTTTTTAAAAATTAGAAATCCAAATATTAGCATGTAAAAGTAGCAGTGACATCATCATTGTGATGTACAGAGAGCAGAGCTGTGGGAGACAACCAGCAGATCCAACCAATACAGGCTGTCTACAAAAAACTAAAGGAGGGGGCAGATACAAGACTAGTCACCCTGTACAAGGAGAGAGCAGAAGACACTGGCCTTCATCACAGGCAACTCCTGCAGTAAAGGGCAGTTGTTTCATTCTGGGTTATTGCACAGTTCTGGAAGAAAAAAACACACAAAACACACCAAGATTTAAGTAAGAATACCCATGCCTCTTGTATTTAGACTAGTGCTGCTGTATATTCTTGTTTTATTTTATTCTTGTTTTATTGTGCCCCCCTGGACTATATGGGGCCACAAATGCAATATGCTGAACCAAAAGAAGCACCTGCACCTTTTCAAAAATTGCACTGCACTATCTTGCATTGCTGTAAAAGTCTCTCTCCCACTGTAGAGAATTTTTCACATTTTCTGTTGTGCCTACAGAACAGGAAGTGAAAAGCAATCTCCCCAATCTGACACAGAGGGAAAAAAAACTGATTTGTTTAATCATTCTCTATCCAATATAAAAAGGGGATTTTTACTTGCAAATTCCACAGCTTGGAGTACAGTACAAAACACCTGTAGTAATAGACAATGGGTTACACGCCGCTACCTTCAGGTGATTGGACACTGGCAAAAGCTTTGTAGGGAATGCCCCCCAGTGAACCCGAATATAACCCTACACAGTCTGGGGGTCTCCATTTTCATAGCAAGCAATAATGAGATGCAGAGGACAGACAGGAGGAAACTATACTCCAAGATAAAGTGAATTTTTACTTACCTGTAAATTCCTTATCATAATCATCTAGTGCAGGTCACAGGACAAAGTCATGGACCATGGGATGTCCCCAAGCAATGAACTAAGGGGTGGACAATATAACAAAACAGGCTCACAAGAAACAAGGGTCAACGGATCCAAAGCACTAACAGGACAGCGCCGTGGCCTAGGCTCACATCAGCAGACACCTGGAGGTCAACGCAGTAAAACTTTGAAAGGGTATGAACAGCAGGTCAGGTGGTAGCTTTACATATCTGCAAAATGGATGCTTGATGCTGAAAGGCCCAAGAAACACAGACAGATCCGGTGGAGTGGACCCAGAAGGGGAAATGAGAAACCCTTGCCTTGAGGGCATAAACCCTGGAAATAAGCTGCCAGAGCAACCTAGCTATAGAGGATAAGGAAGCAGGGTGTCCCTTCTTGGGAAAAATGGGAATGTAAAGATAGGCATCTTGAATGTTCATTGATGCCAGAAATTCCCATGAATTGAGAGAAGTGATGACACATGTAGCTGACTCTATGCTTTTAGGGACAAACCAACATCTGTTCAGAGATTATAGGCCTAAAATGGGGGACCATGAATAGGTTGGGGTAAAATCCTTTGAACATCTCCTCTACAGGAGCTAGTATTAACACTCCTTGTGCCTTAAGTGGATTCAGAGCTGCCCCTAGGTCTTACCATCTTTGAGGTAAAGCTGGCAGACTGGAAAGTAGGAATCAAGCAGGGAGCAGGGATATAAATTCTATTTTGCAGCCCCTGGAAAAGACAGATTGGATACAAACGTATGGGACATCTCTAATCGGAGTTAAGGGGCCATTCATTGAGAACAGGGCTTGGAGGGTTTTGGGGTCCAAGGCTTGCAACAAAAAGATGTACTTGCCTTTAATTAAAAGAGAATGTCTGGGAGATTTGAAAGAACTCCTTTCAGTGAGAAGAGGTAGTAACCGTAAAAGTAAAAAGCTTTGGTTGTTATTTTTTGTTGGGTAGAAGTACTTTTCTACCCAGTGATTTACTTGATAAATTTATCAAGTGATTTAACAAACAGGCATTCGGCATCAAAAGACATGCATAAAAGATGTTACAAATAGACTCAACAGAATAAGTCTTTAGCCACAAAATCCTATGCATGTGCAGAGAGGGTAGGGTTATCCTAGAGACCTAGCAATGTACATTCCCCACTATATCAACACAAAATAGTAGCGACAAAGACATGACCTTCAATTGTTCTAGGGTCACAGAATCATGTTCTCTATTCATTTGCCTAGTCCAGTTAGGAACAGTCTGATAAATGGACACATCTGCAGTTGCCCACTGAAAGGCAGGACCAGTTAGAGCCTTAAATAGGGTTTCAATGCCTCAAAAGAATCCTTAAAAAGAGGAAACATCCTCATCAGATCCTTGTTGAAATAGCAGGATCCACTACTGAGACTGATCACTGTTTCATAAATCTCTTCTCCATATGATATAACTCAGTAAAGTGTTTTTGAAGAATAAATACCTTGTCAGGATTAGCTAATCCTCACACAAAACACTGTTAACTTGTGTGTGCAGAGGAAAGGTCTTTCTAGACTTCACCAGCCATTTAGTACCCATAGGTGTCTGTTTTGGTTGAGGAGATTCTGGTGCTGTTAGACAAAGGCTAGCATTCACTGCATCAATAAGACAGCTCACAACAGAAAGAATATGATGTGAAGTTTTAGCTTGTGTTTCATAAAATGCAGAAGATTTCCTCCGTGGGATCCTCTTCTACATCCAACTCAACTTCCTCAATATCTTTCTTGAAGAAGTTAGGAGGATCAGGAATCTTGAACAGATTCATGAGGTGGAGAGGCAGAAGAGCACTTTAGGGCCCTAGAAGGGCAGAGAGCTCCCAAAAGAAAATCAGACATAATCACAGTAAAATCTACCTTAGTCAGATAAGCCATTTGTTGCATGCCTGAGAGGGAGCAAGAATTAGAGGAAGGGAGTTGTGTCAATGTAGGACCTTGCTACAATGTAAAGGATCAGATATTGCCCTGTGCATTCTGCAGGTGTTCCTTAGTGCAGTCGTTAGCATGAGTGGTATTAGCAGTGAGAGGGTATTTACATGTCTAGGAAAGAAGCGCTATAATCCAGGTGCCAACCAATGTCCTGTGTCAATGTTTCCAGAGAAGCAGGTAGCAAGGTACAGCCGTTTTTCTTGCTTTCTCAGCAAAAATGAAGGCATTTGCACCATCCAAGCAGCAATGTTGAGTGGGAAAAACCCACTAAACTTAAAAAGGTAAATGTTACCTACTGCCAGCTTAGCAAAGACATTTACAAAGGGGGATAATAGCCCTATTTTGAACTTTCACTTTCCCAGGGAGAACCACTATTGCAAAAATATATTGTATTCTGAAAACTACATGTAGAATACACTATACAAACTAGAAAACCCCATGAAGGGATTGTAAGACCACTGTCACTTTATCTGCATGTAAAAGTGGAAGAAAAAAAAATAGGTAAAGGCGTATGAAATAAAAAAAAGAATTCATATACTAAACAATATTTCTACATGTACTAGCTTTATACAGTTAGCAGAATAACGCATTTTACCGACAGGTGTGCTTTAAAAAGAGCTACCCATGATGCCCACCCCTGCTGTCCTCCTCCAGATTAGCAACAGTGCACAGCGCAATATTTACATTTGCTCTGAGCACTAAATCTGTCCATACTGATGTATCACTGCATACAATGCCATTATGCCAGCATGGATTGCTTGCCAAACAAGATTTTACCTACAGAGCTGCTGTAATGAAAATGTGATTACTGCAGGTCCTAGCCCATGGAGAGGAATAGTATAGAAAAAAAAAGACCTTTCTAGGTTGCTGAGCAGAGAGCTCCAAATCCACCTTTAATTTTTTTTTTAAGCTTAATCATAACATTTACATTTATTTTTCAGTGGATTAGAAGATGATAAACACATTTCTACTAATTTTCCAATAAATATTAATAACAGGGTAGAGGTAGGTGGTATTTACATGTGGTGAATACTTAAAGGGCTTATTTAACCAGGCAAAGAATTACATAAAAAATTGAGTAAACCAAAGTAACTAATGAGCCATGGGTTTAAATGAGTTAAATTCACACATCATCGCTTCCATCAATTTATTAATGCCAATGGGCTACATAGTTGCTTAGTTGTTAGAACTTATGCCTTGCAGCACTGGGATCCTTGGACCAAATTCTTGTCAGGCCAATATCTGCATGGAATTTGCATGTTCTTCCTGTGGTTTCCTACCATACTCCAAAAAACACGAGGATGGGATAATTAGAACTTGTCTAAATTGGCTTTATTATGTATATATATATGCATGTGAAGTAGAGACAAAAAGCTGGCCATAGATGGACTGAAATTTGGCTGGCTCAGCAAGGACCAGCCGAATTTAGATCCATGTGTGGACGCTCCTGTTCAGCATAAGTTGATAGTTAAATAGACTTTGGTCGAACGGGAATGTTGGAAAACGTTTGTCAATTAGCAGCTAAAGCAACTGATCAGTCAGTCAGTAAGCTAACAGCAGAGTCCCACTTTCAGAATATTTCTCAGTGGGGGAGAGTCTTTTATCCACTTCGCTTGTGTGGATGAAGGAGTCCATTTGTTTTTTTTTTTTTGTTTAGCCTGCTGGCTGAATGACCAAAAAAAAGAAAAAAAATCACCCATCTACGGCCAGCTTATAATGTAAGCTTAAAGGCAAGGACTGGTGGGAATGCACAATATGTATTGTAAAATGCTGTGTAAATTGTCGATGATATATAAAAAGCTGTAATAAATAGACTACAAGGTTTATATAAAACATATAAATCAAATATTAAAAAAGGAGTATATGGCTGTTTAGGAATCAATATTACCCTATATAAAAGGGACACCTAGGTGTATCTATCTCATGCATTCATCAGAAATTAGTTGTCATCTGGTTAATGTAGTCACACTATAGTAAGTGGATGATAATTGGTTGCTGAATGTTATCTCCTTCTTTACAGAATACATCTATCACTGTTATGAAGAAGTTATTTTTCTCCTTACTTTACATGAGGAGCTTTACAGGAAAGTATTTAGAGAGAAACCACAGATGGCTCCCTTTACAGATCCAGATGATGCCTTTAGATACTTACAGCTTGTACGCGAGCTAGACTTTTCTTTGTAGGCATCATTTAGCCTCACATATTCATCCAGGGCAAGTGCCAACCTTTGTTCCTTCACATGATAAAGCTCTTTCTGAGTGCTTAAGGCATCTTGTGCCACCATAAGATAGTCCTTCAGCATCCGCTCCTGTTCCTTCCTCCATAGCTTACGTGGATCTTCTATCTGTGTGGTTTCTAAATGAAAGAAAAAAAAAAAAAAAAAAAGTATATTCAGAATTATTATGCAGCAAACCTAAAACAATGAATAGAATCATGTTTCTCCATTGGACATCAATGATTATTTTATATATGTAATATGTTCAATACAATTAGAATTTCCTTTCTCGTAAGCTAAAACTTTTTTTCTAGTTTTGGATAGAGTATGAAAATTCTCAGATTTTTTTTTTTTTTTTTTTGCAGTCTGTCCCTGCTGGGGATATTCACCTTCTCCAGCAGAAATTGATGGGAAATTCAAAATAGTACAACCAGAAGAAGAGGTGAGAAGAAAACTTTCAGTGGAGACATCTGTTCTGGAGACAACTGTGTAAGGGTGATTACATGAGGGAGATTCTGTTTAGGAGAGTCTCCTCTTATTCCTGTTGTATCTTTGGCACAGGAAACAAAAGAAAATCCCTCCAAAAGGATATACAGCTAAAAAGAAAAATTACAGGATTTTATTTTAGCCATTCCTTTACAGTATGACCACTATTGTGGACACCAGACATCCCATTACAACATTTATTTATATTATTTATATACACTCACCGGCCACTTTATTAGGTACAATTGTTCAACTGCTTGGTAACACAAATTGCTAATCAGCCAATCACATGGCAGCAACTAAGTATCTAGACGTGGTGAAGACGACTTGCCGAAGTTCAAACCAAGCATCAGAATGGGGAAGAAAGGAGATTTGAGTGACTTTGAACATGCCAGACAGGTTGGTCTGAGTATTTCAAAAACTGCTGATCTACTGGGATTTTCATGCACAACCATCTCTAAGAAAATCGAGACTCAGAAAATTGGAAAAACGTTGCCTAATCTGATATTGTCCAATTTTGGGGAGCCTGTGTGAATTGTAGCTTCCATTTCCCGTTCTTAGCTGGCAGGAGTGGCATCCGGTGTGGTCTAAATGCATTTAGTTGCTGCCCGGTGATTTGCTGATTAGCACTTTGTGTTAACAAGCAATTGAGAAGGTTTACCTTATAAAAGTGGCCAGTGAGTGTACATAGATCCTTACTAGTAATTCAGAATTACTCAGCAAGGACAAGGTGATTATATAAACACACACACACCGTATGTCTCTGAGTGCGCCCCAGCAAAGAACAAGAGAAATTAATACTTTCTACGAAAGGCAAGTGTCATGCACATTTGTTAGCATTTATTAGTCTCTACATGCTAACAGACAGAGGTTAGCCACTGATATGGTGGTACGAATATACAATACACCCATCAACTCTTGATGAGGAACAGGCACACAATGGATGCAGATGACGCAAGGATACAGAGACAGGGGAAAAATGAGGCCCTTGCATTGCCAGGTGCAAAGTTTCAATGGCTCCACCATAAAACAAGAAGAGCAATAAAAAAATTCTCCACTATCAACTGCCAAAATGGAAACAATACTCACTTTACTTTTTCTTAGTATTTAAAATGCTCTGGCATCAAAAATTGTTCTGTTTATATTTGTAGATCAGTTGCGAAATAGAAATTTGGTAATTTATGACATAAGCAACACGGGTATCTGGGTTTTCTCCTTCACGAATGTTTCAGCCTGCTCATAAAAAGCCTAATCTCTCTAGTAACACCATTTGCTGTGCCTTCATGGCTGTGCATACCAGATATAGCAAGACACTGAACACCCCAGGGCTTCATAAAACATCCATCTCTATTACTGGGTCCATGCTGCGATCTAATGATTTACACTGGAGCAGCTTTAGAAGGCACTGCAATAAAACAGTAAGCATACGGCATATGTGTGTGTTAAATGAAAACGGCTGCACAAAGACAGCTAAAATGTCATGAAATAGTGTCATTGCTGGTTATCTGCCAAGAATAATCCAATGTGTATGAGCTATAAGAGCAATTCATTAATTAAGCTTCACCTCCTGTTGCTTTTAAATTTAACTATAATACAAACACGAGACTAAAATAGCCCATAAATCTTTACACTCATCAACTATTCAAAGTCTGGTGGGTAAGTGGCCAAACAGGGCCCAATCTACTCAAGCTATTCTCTTGACAATTGAGTCATGTAAGCATTTCCAAATTAGTGATTCCCCAACTGCAAACCATTTATTATCACTTCCAGACACTTCTGAAATGTAAAGGTCTGTATGACCTAGTGCCATCCATTACCTTTTCCACGAAAAGAATGCTTTAGGCAAATAAGCTTTAAATCCACTTTGCTCTACAAAAGTTTAAAAAACTTTTTAAAGTAGAACTAAATAACAAAACAGATAAAAAATTATTTTGTTAAGGATAAAGCTTTTACTTACTTTCTTCATCTTTTCCCACCCTGCACTGAGCACCTCCCGCAGACTTTCTGTACATGTGTGTCTGCTGCACAATGACTTCAAGTGGTTAAAGTCATTGTGCCCCTTACCTCCTCTTCTGTAGATTCCTTCTGATACTCTCCCATCTTCCTCTTCTGTGAGTGTTCCTATAGCAAGCTGGCTGCTATGGGGGCACTTGTGTAGACATGCTCTTGAGCTGGGCTGTGTGCTTCCATTTGATTGTGTGTCCTATGCAAAGAGGAAGAAGGAAGAGCAGCGCTGCAGAGGGGGTACAGGGCTGGATTGAAAAGTGACTCAAGTAAGTGTTAGAGAGGTGTAGCTGCTGACTTTTAAAAAAAAAAAAAAGCCACTCTTCTGTCCCTTGATCCCACAGTGTTCTCCCCGCAGCCCGTTTCACCAGTCATCCGTGTTCCTGGTGCCAGCATCTTCAGTGTGGTCACCCGGCCGTGACAGCTTGCGGCAACATAGCCAGGTGCGCACTGCACACGCAAGTAGAGCTGTGCTTTCTGAATGGTCCTGTAGTCTACTGGGACTGGTCACATGTTCCAGACTATGGGGATGGGGGGGGGGGGGGGGAACAACTTTCGCTTCCAAACGCCTAGGCGATCGCAACGGAAATGGAAGCAGGTACCTGTCAATTTCGTTGCCAATCCTTAATGGGGAGCGGGGGAGTCTTTAAAGCGGAACTGCCCCTTTTGGGTGGAGCTCTGCTTTAATTATCCCCCAACATCTCATATGCCTGCTGTACCATGTGCATGTGATACAAATTATCCTGATGTCTTTGTATTGCTTCCTTTGAGTGAAATACCTTTTGATCGTGACAGTGAAGAAGGGGGGCAGCCTGTCTTCCACTGGCCAAGACGTACTGACACACCCCAGGTACAACTCTTCATTGAAAAAAAAAATCAGTCTATTGGCATTTCTCTGCCTCTTGATGACATGCCACCCTGCAGTTTCCACCCCTACCTCTCAAAGCCCCCATGCAGCTGAGAACAGAGGTTATGTGATCACTTCCAAAAAAAATTATAAATATCTTTATTTTTTCATATCTGTATTACCTCTCTATTTTAAACTGAATGGGTTGTTTTACAAAGTAAGGGTTCAAATATACATGTCTTGACTTTAGAACCACTTTAAGGTTTATCATGCAGACTATGTGAGAAAATGTCAGTGCAATGCACAGATATCTGTAGGCCAACTCTGGAGTGCACAGGATAGGATGAACTGCTGCAGCTAAGCCGAGTAAAGCTGGCCATAGATGGTTCAACATTTGGCTGGTTCAGCAGGGACTAATCCATGATTGGCTTTAGATCGACTTTTGCCCAACAGGCTTGTTTGAAATTCTCTCTCGATCAGCCAGCTGCAGCCGCTGATCAATGTATTCTGCCAGTGGACAGTCCCACTGTCAGAATACAATATCCAAGCGGGGAAAATGGAGAAATTTGTCCATGTTTTTTTTTTTTGCCCGATTGAGAAAATAAAAAGGAGTCATCTATGCTTTGTCATCCTATGAATGGAAGTGCCTTTGGATATACTATGCTGTGGCCCTGCTGAAAATCACTGCCTTGACTTGTCGTGGTGACTACTGTCACTGAGACAAAGATGAATCCTTTATTTTTAGTTTCCACTGGAAAGGGTTCCTCCACCTGTAGGATTTCTTTAGAAAATTTCTGTTTCCAAAACGTCTAGTTAAAGGGGATGATTTGACCAGAGCAAGCAAAAAAAATATATCAAAGGACAAGGATGGAAACTGTATGTTAAATCAATGACCTCATATACGGGACAGGCGGTGAAGAGAAATCTCTGCAATGGGCACAGACAGCAAAAACTGACAGGGATTTTAACCTTTAACCACTTCAATACAGGGCACTTATACCCCCTTTCCTGCCCAGGCCAATTTTCAGCTTCAGCGCTGTCGCACTTTGAATGACAATTGCACGGTCATGCAACACTGTACCCATATGAAATTTTTATGATTTTTTTCAGACAAATAGAGCTTTCTTTTGGTGGTATTTAATCAATGAGTTTTTTTATCTTTTGCTAAATAAAACAAAAAACACCTCAAACTTTTGGAAAAAAAACGCACGGTTATAAAATTTTGCAAATAAAATTTCTTCATAAATTTAGGTCAAAATGTATTCTGCTACATTTCTTTGGTGAAAATAATAATAATAATAATTGAATTTGTATTTTTTCAAATATCTCGACTTTTTTTTTTTATTAATTTTTTTTCACTATTATATTTTTCAGCACACTGTGACCAAAGCAATACAATGTTACAATGTTTTTTAACACATTAAGATTGCTAATACCAATGTATTTAATTGATATTTGCAATCATTGTTACTGAATGAAACTGATTCAGTCTTTTGTTGTGATTAGCTGTGATTGGGCAAAGCTGATCACATCATACAGATGGGCTGTGATTGGCCCTGTCATTATCATGTAACTGCCTTGACCAGTCACAGCTAACAAAATAATTGTATACAATGAATGGCATGGCAGGAAGCCATCCATTGTATGTATACAATTGACATGTGATCTGCTGTGATTGGTCACAGTGGTCACATGACATTGGCAACAGGCTGGTGTCGTGATATGTCATCGGCTGTGTCCCATGGACACAGCCGGTGACAGATCGTGCCCCGCGGCCGTGTGAGCTGCTCATTTTGACAGGATGTCATGCGACGCCCAGTCACA